TTTGTCTCCGCGTCTTATAAGATCGTTTGTTCAAGATTGACAGACGTTCTATTCCGCGATGCATCCCATGTGTTAGCTTGTTTGCAAAGTCCATCTCCTATGTAGGCTCAGGACGTAATACTCAAAGAGTAACTTTATTAGCAAATATGTACCGTAATTTGTTTAGAAAAAAAGAAAGAATCTGATAATAAGTACTAAAATTTGGTGAATATCTGCCGATCAAATGTTTGATCGACTCCCGTAGTATCTTCTCTCTGCTGTGTGTTTGCATCAGCAGAGTTAAGGAGTCCTTACATCTACCTTGGGCAGTGCTAATGACGGTGCAACTTTCATTTGCTGTCACAAGTAGCCATTTATCTGTAAATAACAGTATTTCTTTGTCATATATGAGCAAATTTCATGTCTGATCTTTCTTTTTCCCGGGTAAAATATCGAGTTATTAACGAAAATAGGTAGGCGATACGATGAGTCAACAGATTGGCGTAGATTGAAGGCTGCATTACTTTTTTTCGATGAGTTTTATCTCGTATTCAATAGGAAAATGTGTATGTAAATCCTCTTGCTCTTAGCCGCGGTCGCCAAACAAAATAGACCGTGTGATTCAAACCAATGTTTTCTATATCTTTATATCTAGGGAGGGCTTTACCGTGAGATGAGATATATATATCCGCTTCTCGATATCCGCACGGACGTTTAGCAAATCGAGACGAGTGAAGAAGAACGACTGTGTACTCAGCCGAGGAGGAGAGCGCGCGAAGTAAACGCAAGACGCTTAAACACGTATCCGCCGCGATTCCTCCATGTGTCAATGCCAATTTATGAAACAAGCCGTCGTGAAATATGATATCGTCGTACTAATACAATTTCCGTTCGGTTATACACGCGTATATCCCGCTCGCTCTGGGCAGCGAGAGATGTCCTCCGCGACTGGCCGTTCGAAGAATCTGCCGCGATCCCAAGTTAGATTGGACCGGAGAGGTCGGAAATCGTTTCGTGACGTACCTTCGCGCAAAACTTCCCTACGGTTCGTCAGCGGTACACCGCCGAAGTGAGGTCCGTTTCGTCGTAAAATCGAGCTGGGTGATAATACTCCGAGACGAGAGATCGAATTTCATATCGCCCGATTAATACGTCCAGACCACGAGTGCTTTTTCATTATCGCAGGAATTAATGATGATGAAGGGTTAGCTCGTGAAATTTCTCTCTGTCCATCTCCGTCAGACTATTTCTTTTCACTGCTTATTCGAAAGCCTATTGCCACACGTAATATTCGAGAATTTTTGTAGATTCAAATTTATAAATCTCCCCCTGATAAATGCGGAAGAGAATTTCCGCATGCTTTAAGTCACGCCGAATACGGAGTAATTTATTCGGGCTAAATTTGCGGCAATTCCAACTGCGATAAAGGAAAGTTAAACCCCACCCGCGAAGAAATTAGAAAGAAAAGCGGGACTCCGGCGAAACTTGGAAAGCTTTACGGCAGAAGTTTTGTCTCTCCCTCAGCACGCCGTGAAAATAATAAAAATAAATGCGCGCGACGGAAAGCGCGTCAGAACGGTAATTATAATATCTATCGCGAACGAGCTGTGTGTCATAGCAACCACGGGACGAGCTACTCGAAACAATTTCCCTTCTAAAAAAGGGGCGTGTTAAAAAGTATCTCGAAACGTTGAAGCTTCTTATCCGCGATGTTGTTCGCATGGCTGCCTCGAAATTTGTTTTAGAAGGAAGAAAAAAAAATAGGATAAAAGAAAAAGAGAAAGGTGAAAAAGAGATAGATTATTTATGTATTTTATTACTATATAAGGTGTCCCAAACGGATCTCGGTGGTGCACGGGTGAAACTGAGGAGAGAAGTCATTTTGAAGAATTAATTATAATAAAATTTAATAAAGTATGTATCAACAGTTATTTTCACATAGTAATCGTCTCGATGTGCTTTTCAGAATGTAACAGGTATTAGAGTACGTTTGAATTTAGGCAACGAAACGACTATCTCGTATTATATTTCTACTTCTAGTAAATATTTACCAAGGAACATAATCGTTTTATTTGAATCAAGTAAGCATTACTTGAACGGTAGTATTTTTTTCAGTCGTTACCTCAAGGTGCCCGACATTTAGACAGTTCCTCAACGCCTGACGATAAGGTTACATATATATGCGTACGTATATATTGCGCGTCTACGTAAGAAAGCGCGTCCCACGAGGCGCATTTACGAGCCGGATAACATTTTACACGGAACCGAACGTCGAAGCGATACTTTATCGGAAAATCCGTTACGTAAAATAAAAGCGCCCTGCGACGCATAGTCGTCGTCCCGCTGTAGCGCCAAGAGATCGAAATACGGTGCGGCATTACACTCTGCGAGAGTAACACTCGCATATAAATGGCGTAGCAATTCGACAGAATAACGTGAAGGGGATGCTGTAAAAAAAAACAAAAGGGAAAAGTGATCCCGCCGCGGAGGAAGGGTAGACTGCGTATGCCGCAGATACTCCCATCTCGCGTAAAATACTCTCCCATGCCGTCGTTAATCCACGGCCGTCGTCTACCCCGAACTAAAACTTGCCCAAGTTGCGAAAACGTGGCTGGGTGTGCTCGCGCGTCTCAAAAGATCGAATCGCGAAAGGCTGACGGGAGAGTCTCAGACGACGTGGGGGATCTTTTCAAAAATCCTGATTTATCACCCTTTCTCGATCACCGCCGGTATCCTTGCGGGAGCCGCAGCCGCTGCATAATGACATTCGCCGAATAATAACGTCACTGCGGGATTCGGTTCACGTCCTCCAAGTTTTATGTATCGCGAATCGAAAGAACCAAGTCGAGGAAGTCCGAACAAACTCGCGAAATTCTCGGAAACGATTATTATAGTAATTGCGAATTGCTAATGGCTTCGCGACGAACGAAGTACCTACTTTTAACTCCCTGACATCCCGGGACGCATGGTCCAAAGTAGGAAGAGGGAATATGTCATTAGACATTGATCAGATATTATTATAAGAAATTAACCAATCATATTTTCTTTACACTCGAATATGATTGGTCTTATGAGCATACTCCCACTGCCCATTGTAGACTATGATTGAGAGAGACGAGCTTTTCTCTCTCGTACGCAACGGGGAGAATAATAATCTCAGACGATAAATCTTGAAATAAGTTCGCGGATAGTTTCACGTGGCACAAAGTTCTCGCGGTCGACAAGCGAGTATTGCTAATTACGGGAAGAGATTTATCGTAGATCCAGTGAATAAAATCGCGCTCGAGACAACAGGTTTTACTTTCACGACGAGCTCTGCGACGAACGAGGCCTGTTTTTCGTCAATCGTACGAGTAGCCGCTGCCAATGACGCATCGTTGATATCGCGACGGAATTTTCGCGCAAGAATAGGTGCGCAGACACGACGCTTCACATTACTTATGTATTCCATAAAAATGTATACATAATGTATACACGTTGTTCTTTATGTAACATACTTATCTGATTAAATGTAAAATTGATCCTTTTTATGCGTAAATACCGAATGTTTAATCTGACGAAAATATTGACAAGTTCGTGGAAAAAGGCATAAGTTATATCGGTATTTTCATTACTGTATGTATACCTGCTGTGCATTTATATGCTCGTCTATATTTGATATATTTATGTGCATGTTAGGAAATATCAAAAAAATGATCTCGCTATTTCACATATTGTACAAACACAATATATATCGCGCAATAAACAATATTCTGTCAGAAATTAATATTAATACTTTGATACTATTTGCTAACTTTCTTTCTGTCGGATTCTTGACGTACACTATTGAATAATTGAAACTTCAAACACTGAAAACTACTATTTAGAAGACGAACAAAACATTAATTATTTTTTACGTAAATCCACCGCGTGTAAGGAGATTAAAATCGACTATGTTCTCTCCTTAAAACTTCTTAAAATGACGACCGTTACTGAGAATAAATAACGCGTCTGTAAATTTTGACACACAAAATATGTCATGAATAATATTCAACAAAATTAACATCTATAATCGACACTAACGAATAAAATATGTCGTTTTAACACTTGCAAGTGTTATTTTAACAGTAGCGAATAAATGAGAAATAACGAAAAAAGTAGCAAGTACGCGTAACCGCAAACACGACGAACACTCCGCAGAAAATAAAAGATTGGCAAAGTGGCAAGCGATAAGGATAATACAAGACAAATTAGAAACAGCAAAGTTCTCAACGATTTGCTCAGCTTTGTTATCGCCCCATATCGTGAGGACGCATATTTATGTTGGAAAAAAGTAAGACAACGGATTATTTGCACCAAGTATACATGAAATTAGTTAAACAACACCTAATAGACGTGAAATTAATCAGAGAAGGTATAGCTCAAAACTATCAGAAGAAAATCATGGGTATAATTCTTTCTTTCTTTTTTTTATTTCTTTGTTCGACGATGTAATAACAAGTCGATTTTTTATGCTCTCAGTATCCGATGTTGCATTATAAACAGAGTAAGCACATAATAGAATGTGCGATTCGCGTCCGATAAAAGCGACTGCGAAAGATGGCGCCAGGATACGTACTTCAAGTAAAAAATGTCGGTAATATTTTACACACGAATTCTACTTCGCCTGACCGATGATACATTAATTTATTATTTCTTTCGCCACGAAGGAAGAAAGTATATATTCGATGATATGCAAATTACTATCAGAAGTTACAGAGAAGGGAAAAAAGAACAGTACTTTCTTATAATACAGATACATATATACATAATAGATACATACTATGTAAATCATAAATTTGCAATTTAAAAGCGTGGAAATTTCTTTATGTAAAAGGAGACAAGTAGCGTTAAGTAGCGAATGCTTTGCTTATCAGCAAAACCTTAGCATAAATTGCGGGAAAGGAATGAAAGGAAGCAACGAAAATTAACAAGAAAAACAGCTTTAAAAATAGATGTAGCCACGTAGAAGAGGCTATATATGCAGACTATCTCCATACAAACTGAAGTATTTTGTAATAGCTACAGCTACGACGATGGCGACTCTCTTTTCGTTAGTAATATTAGTCATTGCTATTATTTTACTCTGCAAGATCGCAGCGTTGGCGTACGGTGATTATATCACACGGAAAAAAATCAGCCATATTCCTGGGCTCACTACTCTCCCTTTTATTGGAACGTTAGATTTACTACGGCAAACGGAAAAAGGTAAAAAAAAAAACACGTCCTATTATTATTATTTTCTACGAATTTTCCACTTACATACAAAAGAAATACAAGTTGCATTAATTATAGGTCGTGTAGATTGGCTACTGTCGCTGATGCACAAATTTAAAGACGGGATTTTTCTACTTTGGATGGGCCCACAGCCAATAATTTACATATATAAACCAGACCAATTTAAAGTGAGCAATTAAAATCTCATTACTATCGCGTTATTCGATCGTCGTATATTATCTATGCTTGTTTGAATCAATCATTTGCACTGTGCTCCGATGCAACGTTTTTAGACGAATTATATTATTATTTGGTGTTCCCGAAAATTTATAGGCTGTCCTTTCGAGTACCGTACTAATAGAGAAGTCGGTTCATTACAATTTCTATAAAGAATGGCTGGGCACTGGGATTCTCCTTTCTTCTGGTAAATAACGATAAAGTATTCCGGGAATTTCATTAAATCGCCTCGTTATTGGCTTCGCTGATAGCGACAAAGTGGATAAACTTTACTTTTCATCTCTACTCTTTTATCATGGAAGTTTATGTTTTAGGCAAGGAATGGATGCAATTTAGGAAGCTCTTCTCGCCACCGTTCCATTTTAACATGGAACGATTCGGTGTAATTATATCCGAGAAAACAGAAATCATGCTAAAATCCCTAGAGAAAGTGATAACAGAAAATCAAGGGAAGGCTATCGATATCATCCCTATTTTAGATCATTTTTCTATGGACGTTGTATGCGGTAAGAAACAACCTAAGAGCGATGATGCGCAAATGTAACTTCAGTAATGAGCGAATAACATCTTTAACGAGCTGACAAAGCTCTTTATTGGGGAGCTCTTTAATTTATGTTAAAACCAAAATAACTGCATTATTTGCTCAATATATACATAGCGTACGAAGAGCGACTGTGTAAAATTAGCTGTTATTGTCGAGCGATGCTTTTAACTATAGCACACAACGATGTTGGATTACTAGTGATTGTGAGAGATTCACATTTTCTCGCTGCAAGAGATTTATCGCAACCATTACTTTTATTCCAGAAATTATATTGGGTATAAATCCCCAAGATGTCGAGTTTAATTATATCGATAATATACAGAGGTGAGTCTACGACGAGTAACGTTCAATATAGAACATTTTTTTTCTGTATTTCAAATTCGTGGTCGTCAGACAATGTCATTAATTTTACACCTGAATCCTTTTTCGTGTTTTTACCGACATCAATCGATTTTTTATTTGTCGACGGTATGACGTGTTTTTAAGATGATAAATATTAATTTCACACCATGTAGCGCATGTCGTAATAACAAAAATCATGTGATCGTTTGTGTCTTGCTACTTTGTTCATCCGCCGGTTGACTTTACAACTGTCGATCGTAAAAAAACGAAAATATTATTATCAAGAACGACACATAGAACTTACTATATTTATTGCTTTGCCTCGACCGGAACTAAAAGATTAATGACACTTTCAGATTGCTCAAACTGATATCGATACGTATAAATCAGCCGTGGCTCTGGATAAACTGGATATTTAATTTGTCTCATGTGGGAAGAAAGTATAATGAGACGCTTCGCAATGTAAATGAATTTTCAAAAGATGTGAGGACTTTAATCTTGACGCGTTTGAAAGTATCAAACTGTTATAATTATCACCTTCTCGATGGAAATAAATTGAGATAATATAGTAATGTGTAATTCGCGTAATTTCACCGTTTCTCTTCGAAAAGAGGTCGGACTTTGGTGAAAATATTACAATTTCCAGATAATACGGAATAAGCAATTCACGCGTACCGTACTGAACGACAAATCGCAGGATAATGACGATGAAACGGCAGGTACAATTATAAATTATTAACAAAATGTAGAAATATAACGAAGCAAAAATGAAGCGTGGTATGATTAACATAAATTTAAGACCTATGTTTGCGTTAAAAATACATTTTCTGCAATAAAATCACAAAGGAGATTGCATTATGGAACAAACATTTCTTTCATTTCTTTTTCGTTTCAAAATTAAATTTCAACTTATCGTTGTATAGCCAAGACGAAGAGGAAAGCCTTCCTGGAGCTTTTGTTAGATCTAAATAAGAACAAAAACAACTTGTTTACCACCGAAGAGCTGAGAGGACATATTAATTCATTCGTGTTTGCGGTAGGTCCAAGACACAGCATAAAGTTTTATACTTCTCTCTCTCTCTCTCTCTCTCTCTCTCTCTTTCTCTTTCTCTCTATTTCTTTCTTTTTTAATATCACATTTTTCCAATGTTATATATTACGTATTATTAATTTGAAACAATAACACAACAACAGACTTACGACACAACAGTGACTACGCTCAGCTGGGTACTCTTCTGCTTAGGCAATAATCTTGAACATCAAGAGAAGGTTCATGAAGAATTAGAGGACATTTTCCGTGATTGGCAAGGCCCAGCCTCTCCGAAGCAACTCTCTCAATTAAAGTATCTCGATCGAGTTATAAAAGAGAGTCTTAGGCTATATCCAACCGTACCGCTAATCGGAAGAAAAGTCACGGACGACATAAATCTAGGTGAGATGATTTTTCGAGCGCAAATCGCGCGCGAATCTTCGAAACCGCTCTGTTGAGCTTAAATCGCACGAACGCACCAATAGTAATCTGTTTTGCATGAAAATATTCTTGGAATTTCTTTTTTCTGCAACAACTATTTATCCGGGATAAAAAAAGGAATAAAGAGAAGCATAAGCAAATGTCTCGAAATTCTCTCTCTCTCTCTCTCTCTATCTCGGAGATACAAAACCTTCCACGCGTTTTGGAAACTTTTGGATAGAAAAAATCCACACGAGAACTGAACGCGAGTATATACGGTAACTTGTATTCAGAGTGCGTTGTTAAACTGTAATATCCAAATGAAAGAGTAAAATTTACGTAAACGTAGGGGTAGAAGCGAATCTTTACCGTTCATTATCTTGCACAAAAGGAATAATATTAGGCTAAAATTATTACTTCTGAAAATTTTCCAGCAACAATATGATAGCGTGTTTCTTTTCGCCGCACAAATTCTTTTCTAATAATAAAAGAAACTTTTTATTTAAATTCTTTTAGTATCAGAAAATGATTCATTTAGATTTACAACATAATTTATTTGCTTACTTTTAAATCGAGAAAATATTTATTTAAAGACAATTTTCGAACTTCTAGATGGCTCTCCTGATTATAATACTGTCACTTATGCGACTATAGTTAGTAGTAAATATGAAAGTAAATATGAAAAAAATTGAAATTAACACATCCCGCCCGTTTTCCATGTTTCTATTTAAGGTGGTTACGCGATTCCAAAAGACAGCACGATCGTATTGGCGATCATATTGTTGCATCGTGATCCAACGATCTGGCCGGATCCGTTGAAGTTTGATCCGGACCGATTTCTACCGGAGAACATGATACATCCGTATGCCTTCGTGCCGTTCAGCGCCGGACCGAGAAACTGCCTCGGACAGCGACTCGCTTTGCTCCAGGAGAAGATCGCGTTGACCGCTGTACTCCGAAAATGGAGGATCAAGAGCGTGGAAACACCCGCGGGAATAAGTATATACGATTCCACCGTGTTGCGACCATATCAAGGAATTATACGTATACATTTCTCACCAAAGAAATAAGGCAAGATATTGCATGATTTAACGTCGACGACGGTCGCTGAGTTTTATAAATAAAAAAAAAGTATTTCCTTCCTATTTTGTCTTTCCTCTTTTTACGTACGCGCATAATTGCACAATCCTCTACAGCGTTCGCTTTCCCGTAGTAACTTGTATTACGTTCTACGACAGAATGCATAGCGATTCTAAAATCAATCAATAACTTTGATAGAAATTTTGATGCTACTTTGACGTTCTTATATATATAAAAATAATTTACTGGTTAGATGGTCCATAAACCTACTTTGACGATACAAGTTAACTTTTCTTTTGAATCTTTAATTGTACAGATTTAATTTTAGACAACTTATTTTGACGCTAAAACAGCGAAAATGGAAAGACATCAGCAGAATTAAAGTAGGAGTAAATTATATTTTTAGAATTGAGATATTGTTTTAACTTATTTTGCTATCTCAACTCCTGCTGTATTGTAGAATGAAAGGTTTAACATAAGGCGAAAATTTTCACGTTCAATCCGCGCGATAATACGTCAGAATGAACTTGTCGAGCGTGTGTCAAATCGGAGTCGATAGTAACGATGTATGCGTGGGAGACAAGATCAAGGCGATAAAGAAAGACGATGCCGCGAAGCGATAAATGTCGCGTTGACCATCGATCAGTCGGGTTCACACAGTGCGAACGTAATCATCGTTGCATTTCTGCGCATATGGCGACGCATGTAAATTCTGTGCGCGAGTCCCGACGGAATCATGTGGCTTCCGACGGTATTTTTTGTAAAACATACGTGGATTATTTCATTTCAAATTTTGCAAAAATTTTCAAAAACTTTCGTTAAAAAAGTCGCTACTAGGAAGAGAACGGAGAGAACTATTTCGGTTTTGGGAATTTGATGTAATTCAGTTAACTGTGTTTAGAAGTCCGGACAATTAACGACGTCATGTCGGTGAATTAATGTCGAGCGCGCTTTTCGCGAAATCTGTGTGAGGTGCGCACGAACAAGAAAAAAATATTATATAGAATCACATAAGTATAGAGAGAGAATTCTCGTCGTGTGATTTATGTGCGATGAATTTATTACGCGATGGTCATTCTCGTCCAGAAAAAGCTAATCCAGCAAGAAAATTATTATCGACAAGCAAAGGGTGCCATCTATTCGAGAAAAACACGATTTCGTGTGATTATTTGTCATTAAACATATGAGGTATGCGCTCAATATGTTTCTCTGTTATTTGAATATAAAATTGTGTTCCTAATTTGTGAGTCAACACAGTAACTTATACATTCTGCAGAAAAAAAGCGAACGCATATGAAATTACTTACGTATACGTTTTTCTGGGAATCACGGTCGCTTATTGATTAAGAGAAGAGAAAAAGAAGAGATATATCGATATAATTGTAGCGCGTGATCGGTGGGGGAATCGTTCAAACTTGACAAAATTCGTCGCAAGATATATAAGGTATCCCACGACTCGCTATCTTACTTTTAACGTCAGACTCGGGAGTTGGTTTCTTGCTAAGTAAAAGTGTTGAGTTACCTATGTTTCTGAGTTGCAAATCGAGATCGAAATAGAAAATCATTTCACGACCTGGGCTATAAGAAAGAACACGAGTAAGTAGTACTTTTTGTTTTAATAAAATTTTTGGATTTGCTCACGAAGATATGTAGCGTTGAAAACTCTCGATAAATGATGAGTCATCTCGATATTTTCGCTGAAAAAAAATCGACTCCAAATTCTTTTACGCTAATCGTGGAGCATTCTTTATAACGAAGCTTTAATATGTTTTGCTCCTCCTGACCTTTTGATTCAGGAAAACCCCTTTAAGAAATAGAAATCATCGATTTACGAACAACGCTATACAAGAAATTATAAGAATGCTCGAAGTTGATTTTTTTCTATATAACCAATTCACATTGTTGAAAAATTCGTTCACAATCTAAGGATTTCTTGAATTATTCTTAAACTATGCACTGACAAAGAGACAAATTGGCAAGATCGTTCGATTCATTTAATCTAATTGCACACTCGGTCACGGTTGCAACAACGGTTTTTTTTTTTACATATTTCGGAACATACAAAAAATATGACAGAGCGAACCTATGATTTACGAACATGCGCAATAGATAGTCAGATCACGGTAGATATGTCAAAATTACATATACACATGTAATTTATACGTATCTCATTTTGACAGCTGTCTGACCATCTACTGTGCATATTCGTGAATCATAGATTCGCTTCGTCGTATTTTTTCTATGTTCTGAAATATGTAAGAAACTTTTAACTAAAAACCTAACTTTATGTAATTGTATTAATCTAATTGTATTATTTTATCTTAATTAATTTACACGCACACGATAACTATTTTTTTAGTGACAATACATATACTTTTATGAAGAAACTTTTGTGAAACCTGTCGAAATTATTTCAATGGATCTGACAATATAAGTAAGAATATGATTTGATCACATAAATATTGGTATTTCCGAAATATAAATTTAATATTTTCGAATTCGTTCCCTTTCTTTCTCTTAAATAAAACAATATAGTTATTATTTTATATTTTATATGTTATAAAATTATTATCGGCCATGTCGAAGGAGCGAAATTAGAACTGAGTTTCAAATATGCACTTAAAATAATGAAACACTCGCAGACTAAGTATTGATGAAAAAAAACGACTCATCCAGCTCATTATTACCTATTAGTCAAGGATTAATCATTATACAGCGATTAACCTAAACCCTCGCAGATCTCCCTCTCAATTTCTACACATTTAGATCGCCGATATTTCAGTGTCGTGATGAGGAAACATTTAGAACGTCCGATTACCAATTATGCGCGATAAATGAGATTCGAAAGACTATGTTTACGCGTTTAAGGGATGCCCGAAACGTTATTCATCGCGCGATGAGAATGGCCTCGAGACATCATGCCTGCGATGTCCTTTAACCTGATCGCGACAACCCTCGCACGGGACAAACAGAGCGGACGTGTGCCCAAACGAGCATAAAAGCGACGGAACGGGTTTGACGGAACCCAAAAGAAGACAAGCGGTGGCGACGAATCGACAAGGACCCTGAGATCATCCTTCCCACTTTAGATGTCCCCCACGGAACATGCATCTCACCTCTTAAGGCGGCCATGCTATTCCGCGAGAGAACGGTGGCAAGCGTTCGGTCGCCAATATCGTATCTTCGATGAACCGGAAGCATCGGGCCGATTCCGAGGACGACGATGATGAACAACACCACCGCCAGCATTGACGCAGCGCTCCCCGGGGAACTGTGCGGCAACCTCACCGTCGGCCTCGACCTGAAACTGAGCCTGCGACCCCGCGACAACCGCAGCGAAATCGAGTTGTATGAAAACGTAACGTGCCTGGAGCACGCGCCCAGGTTGACCAACTCGGTCTACCTCAAGGTCATCGTATTAGCGGTCATGTCGGTACTGAGTCTAGTCTGCAATCTGGCGACCGTCTATTCGATCATAAAAAACAGCCGGAAACAACGGGTGTGCTCAACGATCTATACGCTGCTCCTCCATCTGACCGTGGCCGATCTGCTCGTCACCGTCTTCTGCATGGCCGGCGAGACGATCTGGAGCTACAACGTCGCGTGGCTGTGGGGCAACGTCGCGTGCAAGCTCTTCAAGTTCCTGCAGATGTTCAGCCTCTACCTGAGCACTTTCGTGTTGGTGCTGATTGGCGTCGACCGGTTCGTCGCGGTGCGCTATCCCATGAAGGGGCTCAGTATGAATCAGAGATGCTCGCGATTCGTTTGCAGCGCTTGGATATTGTCCTTCGTGCTCGCCACTCCGCAGGTAAGACGTTATTTATTTTTTTTTCAGAAAGAAATTTAGCTCAAAAGATAACAAAACGCCTGAAAGCCGAAACTACTGTTTGAGCATGACGATTTTATCGATTATAACTTACTTGGAAAAACTTGGAAAAACATTTCGATCTATTGCGAGAAGTTATCTCTTTTCCATAACTTTTTGTTGCGATCAGTTTGATTCTTTTTTTTTTCCATTAACTATGAGAAGCGTTAGACCCAAAAAAACTTCTTTCAGTATATTATAATTAATAAAATCATATTACGCTCAAATAACAGTGACTTTGGACTTTCATAGTTCTTAGACTTAGATAGTAACATTTTTGGTAACGTTATTTTTCTTTTCTCTTTTTTTTCGAGCATCCGCGTTGCACTTTTCCGGTTAGACAATTAAACGCATAATTTGACGAAGCACGTCTCTAATTAACGTCGCACGTTATTTCATGAGTTTCGTTTTCATATCTTTCTGAGAAGATCATTTCCGTATCTGATATTTTGGTTTCTTCTTAGACGTTTTTGAATTTATAGAACCATGAGAGGGAATTATTTGGTAAGAAAGTAATTGAATTTCACGTTAGACCTTCTACAGGTTTTAAGGGATAATTTCTAGAGGAGAGATTCTAGAGAGAGATGGATTTTTTCCTTTTTCTATAGCGAAATCGGGAAGGCGTTTTATATATTATTGCAATGCTTAGCGGCGCAATAATAATCATTAATTCCTATAGGAATCTAATAGCGGTTATAACATCGATGACGTATTGAAAATCACTTTTTACATAGAATATGTACCAATTGCGAACTTTCAACTTTAATTCATGAAATGATACTAAATATACAAACTGCATTATCTTTGCATACATAAAAGAAGAAAATGTTTTATACTTTAACCTGGAAGTTATTACATCATCAAAACGACGTCTTCAAGAATTCCTTTTACGAGACGCATTCAAGAACACAGCCAACCAATCATTATAAATGCGCCAATTTTCCCGGATACTAATTTTTTACTCGTCAATAATCCACGGTAAAAAGATTACACCATCATCGTTATCGTCTGGGATTGAATGCTTTATTTGAATATTAAATACCGATCAATAAATGTCGCCAGTATAGGTGATCCACTCGAGCTGGAGAAAAAAGTCCGACGGTAAACCAGTTTCGCGTACGACGGTAGATGACAGTATCATTTTCTGAAGATTTCTTAAGAAAGTAGTCCCATCGAGGTCGCTGCGCGTCATATTTATTTTATGCAATTTAAAATAGCAAAGTATATAAGATTACATCAGTGAATATCGGCTCAATCGGATGCTACTTAAACTGGGGTCTACTTGTTAGGAACGTTAAAGAACCGGATAATTGGCAAATATCAAAGATCAAATAAACTTGATGCAGCAAACAAGTTTTTGCTTTGGGTTGAGACCAAAAAACCAAACGTTACATACTTATTGCTTATTATTTTTTAGAAAAAACAATTGGTCTTTGTTACGTTGTACGTGGGCTTATGGCGTATGTTGGATTACCTACGAAATTTTGTATAATTTACTCATTAATAAAAATACACAGATGCTCTGTATCGAACAAAACATGCGCGAAGACGTTCCTGACTAACGACGTATTTTAGAGTTATTCAAGATTAAGATTCATTGTTCCTGCACCGATATCATTAACATAAATTTGCGGATACGTAAAGTTCGTATGCTCCAAGAATCACGTAAAATTACGCGGTTAATTACGACGTTATCGTATTTTGGCCATCAATAACGCATGCACCGCAGTAGACGGAGTAGTCTTCACTTTTTCCGTCATCAATAATCACGGTGTCACAACGTATACTTACCAATGCCGCGGGATATTACGATCAATTACTATAATAAACTTTGATAAATTAGAAACTAATTGTACGCTACGGGAAACTTCTCAGTTATAATCAGAACGGAAAAGAGAGAGACGCTCATTACGTAACACACAAATATTTATTACACACAAACGAAATTGAATTCAGACAAAACGGAGGACAACGAGCAACCGAAATGGCAGAGGAATGTGAATGGCAATAAATAGATCGCAACACAAATTCGACAGAGATATTCTAATCTCGCGTTGAACCTGAATCTGAACCGCTGACGACATTTGCATTGAACTTCCGGGAAAATGCTCGTTCTGACGAAACAGATATAAAAACAATTTATAATGTATTGTTTAAATGCAAACGAAACATATATTTCGTTTTACATACATCATATTGTATTTGCATTAATATACAACTACGGTCTTCGATTATTCTTTTTTCATTCATTCAAAGAGCATCCTGCATATTCGAAGAATCTATCGCGATTATCGGCATTTTAAGGACATATTCGGGGACGGATTTATATAGAAATCAGTGACGCTGGAATATCAGGGCCCCCATTGGAAGAAGTCTCCATTTCAATATAGAATTACAACATTGAGGGTGGTCTAACATTAGCGATTATCTATTACAATTCTTCGATTTGAAAACAGCAGTAATCTCTCTCCTGCTGAAAGGAACCTGTCTCTTCGGGAATTGTCATTAAAAAAAGAAATTATCCGTTTTTTTTTTTTTTAATAGATGAAAGAGAGATTCAGCAGAGAAAGAATTTCTTTATTTAGTCGAAAGCGTTTACGTTGCTGAACTTACTAATGCCGTTTCTCTCTCGGAGCATCGCGCGATCGGATGGAATTGCGCGATTAATGCATATCGCACAGCTTCGTATTGTTGTTCGTTCTTTCTGGACTCAAGGAGTCTGATACGCTGAAGCGACCGCCGCGCTCAGTACCAACGACCGCATCCGTCTCGACGTCTAGCCCGATCAGTTTGTCGTCTCTCTGATCACGCGCGCGCTTCGCTTCGCGTTGGCATCCACCGCGACCTCCGCACCCACACCTGCCCCTTCTCGATCCCCTTCTCGTCCTCTTCCTCATCTGCCGCCTCTTGCAGCTCCCAGGGGCACATCCTCGCGACCTTCTCTGTCTTCTTCTTCGCTTGCCACACTTGCAGCCGGCCCTTTGGGAGCTTCTGTCACTTTGCGCCTTGTAACCTCGCGATCGATTGATCTTACGCTGACAGTACAGGTCCAATAGATCAATCTCCTGAATAGCTACCTCCTGTCGCGCGATATCGCTGTCGGTCGGTAAGCTGTAGTGACCGCTGGTTTTCTTCAAGACGCCGTAGGCAACGCCGCGTTTCAAGGCGCTCTGCACCTGGTGGTAAACGTGCGTCTTCATACGCGGCATGAGAATTATTTACGTATATAATTATCGTAATTGATTAATTAATTAATTATCTATGTAAATCCCGCTATACAAAGGGGACCAATAATTATTAGCACTTGGAGTTTCCCCGAGGCTATGGGAATTGACGGAAACTCCGTTCAGCTGCGAGAAAATTGTTGCCGCCGGTCCTCCCTATGCAATCCTCGTTCCGGCTTTTTTCTCCAACTCGTGTAATTTCGAAGGTATTTCCAGGTGCTAATAACCGTCGGCCCCTGTATAATAGATTTTGCAGTGATAGTGTCGCTTCGTTTGTATATTTATATCATAACGTGGAATATATTTAAAAAAAACAGTGATTTTACATAATTGCACGTGTGTGCGTATTTGTCTCACAGTCATCTAGTTACGACTGACAAAATGTCTCTACATATGCGAAAAACAATCCTTTTCTCGAATCGAGAAATTGTTGTAAAATTAGACCATCGAAAAAAAGAAAACACTGCACGCGCTTAATTCGAATTACATAATGAGCGACTGAAAAACTACGAAAGCAAGCAATTTTTCGGCATGTTTTAAAAGTCGTCAATCTGCTAGAAAATGATGGTATCCTTACAGAAATTTATTGCTGCTAAGCTAATGATTAATTACTTATTGTAAATATTTAAAACACTGTTGTTAGTAATTCGTAATAATTAAATTATAAAGTTCATAGTGATCCCAAATATTTCAGTGTATATAGTTGCAATGATTAAAAATATTACCTTATTATTAATATGAAAATTTCAATACTAATGCTTGATAGCACAGCAGTGATGAAATATTTTCTTACTAAAATTTAATACTGAGAATTACTGAATTTGCAGTGATTAAATATTGAGAAAGCAGTGGAAGTAGAGCATACATGATGCAAGTGTTCCAGAAGATTTAAGATGCCTGACTGCTAACTAGACGACCCAGATTCAATACTACCCTACATCTGTATTTTTTCTCGTCGTTTTCTCTTTTTCTTTTTTTTCTTACCTTTAATATTAATATCAATAAGAAAACAATCTTTTTATATATATAATTTGACATATATTAACCAATGATTAAGTTTTGGCCAAATAATTACTGCCAGTATTTAATCACTATAAATTCCTTAATAATTCTTAATATTAAATTTCTGTAAGGGTATGCAAAGTAAAACAAACTCATTTGTTTAATGTATAAGGAAGATATTACGTGTGATGTTCACTTATAATGTCACCATTTGACGATAATTACTTTGAATATCCTTAGCACATAACTCGTCCATTATTCCGCGATATCCATATTTGATATTTAATTAACTACTTAAATTTCTCGTAGGAAATAATGATGTATATCACTAACGAAGATAAATCAATAAGAAATCGAAAAAAAGAAGAAGATGAGAGGAGCTGAACAAAGTACTTCACATTTCTCGACAAAAGGGATGCATGATTCGCATCACTGTTATGTTTGAGAATCACGCTCAAAGGTTAGATTAATATAAGTAGGTAAGGTTAATATAAACCTGACGTCGCGCTTTAGCGGCCGGGATATCGTGAACAGATGAAATATAATGAAGAATCTCCCGTGACGTAGACCCTTGGATCTCGCGAAGGTTCTTGATCGCGGAGATCACTAAGCCGAGGCTCTTTGTCGACAGATGCACCATAACGGCCTCAGTAAGGTTCCGAATGAATAAAGTCGACGCTAAATCACGCCTAAATTCATACGAGAGACAAACAACAGAATAATCGAAATTGTACAAATAAAAATTGTAAACATTGGATTTTTTTTTTATCTACTGTTTATCTGAAACATACGTGGGTCTCGAATTCTCTCGAAGCAATGATGGGGCTCTCCAGAATGTTCTAGGAAACCGTCACTTCTCAGGGAAATGAATTTCATGTGTTGATCGGAAAGCACCCAGTACAAGAATAAAACGTTTCGAGCATTCACACGGCTGAAATAATTTCATCCGTTATAAAAATAACGTGTATAATTCACAATTAAATAGTCGTGTAATAATTTGTCGTGCGCCATATTGTAGGATTCCTCGACCTAAATTAATCGCACTGACGACTCGATCAATCAACCACTTAATCTTTTCTTATCAATATTTTGATAAGACGGATTTGACAACTATACGCGCCCTAACGCGTAAATCAGAATCATAATTAGAATTTAACAACATTCCGTTAATATAACTAAACTTTCTATTGTCCAGGCGAAAACTCGATTGTAAGAGAAATTTCTGTAGAGGGCTTTTACTCGATCAATTGTATTCAATTGCGCAAATGTGTTTTAATCGAATGTTTACACGAATATTCTCAGTCGCGGAAACAAAGATATCATTCCTTGTCATTGAGTTCTCATTTCATGTCATCGAATTTTCATCTGGTTCTTATTCAGCCGTAAAAACTGAGACTTTTTCCGTATATTCTTGTATAAAAATTAGCCGATAACGTTCGCCATCTCTCTTCACAAGAAAACTGACTGCAGATTAGATTCGACGACGAGATGTCAGATGGCCAAATGCGGATTTTCAGATCGGATGGTCGCTCGCGACCCTCGCCGAGGTTATCCGTTAGAATCGAGTATCGTGAGCCATCACACCCGGTCAGAGAATAATGCTGTCGTCGTCGACGACGACATGGAAGAAGTCTCTATAGTCTGGCGAAGATTAATGGTGAACGGAGGACGTGTTGCTTGACAGACCCGAGACACGAAGAACCACCGGCCGCGCTTAATCAATGCATCTCTCTCGTCCCGTTCTTTTCACGTTGTGTCCCGCGATCTTGACGAGGTAACACGACGAATTTAGAACTCGGCCGGGCGCAATCGCATCTTCGGTCGGAAGGCCGGTACAATGAAGCGTCGCCGTTTAAAAATGAGCATCGACCGGTGTGAACGAACTGATATTAGCTCCTCGGTATCCTTCAAATGCACTTTCCTGTTACGGGGCTTATCTCGGCTATTATACTACGATCTTTTTTCCTTCCTTCACGCGTCACAGCCTATTTTTGAGCCGGCAGGAAAGAGTCGGATTAATAACGGGATAAAATACGAATCCGAAGGAGTTCATATTTCGAGCGCACGACTATCAGGTGTGCGAAAAAGTATTATCAAAAAGAATTATCTCCTCCATCTCAGTAAAAAGCTACTGATTTGGGGATTACTGTGAATCTCGAGAAATTCGCATGTCCGAGTCACCCGTTATTCTTTAAATTGCAACCAGTGTATCGTCACTGAAAGAAACAGCCAATAATGACTGGTGGCCGTATAATTATAAATATAGCACTGCAAAGTAAAATTTCGCAGAAAAAATCTGTTCAATAGCAGCTACTGTTTCCATCAGTGAAATTTAACTGCATAAACAATGAAAGAAAGTATTATTTATTCCCTATAAGCGCGTAATATTAAATCATATTTTGGGCATATTCTTAGAGTATTAGACGTAATATTCTAATAATATTCTAGTAATAACGACTATTATAGTGCTTCTTAAAGCTTAAAGATTGGCACTTTCAAATCACCATAGGGCGGGAAAAAAAACTTGAACCAGAGTTACAAGATGTTAAAGGTACCGAATTAATTTCTACACCTAATAATACTCTTATGCCTTGATCTCCCCAGATATTTATACGGATAACTAAAAATGGTTGAATAATGCCATTCTTCTTCAATCATCTCCGAATCTTTCGAGGCCTCCATCATCGTACGCAAAATTACGCTGAAAGTTTTTAATGTTATCTCTTTGGTGCGTCAACGTGAATTGTCAATGCGAATATTCTAATGTTGCACTTATTATGCTCTATTATTTTTTCTGTACAATCTCTTAACCACGTTATGATATCCACTCCGGAATGACGATATTTCTCAACTTCGAGTGGCAATATTTTCACATAGCTTTGAATGAAAATACTGCCGCTTTTCACTTGTTTCGAGAAATTCCACTCTAATAAATTTTTTTGAATTTTTTATCGAAACATCGTGCACACATCCGCCGATATCAACATTTGCATTCTTACATATCGCCTTGTGTTACAGATCGCGATATTTCACGTTGCCGAAGGACCATTCGTCGAGGTATTTACACAGTGTGTGACTCATGGCTTTTACACCGAGGCTTGGCAGGAGCAACTATATACCAGTTTCAGCCTATTTTTCATGTTCCTCCTGCCATTAACAATTTTAATTACCACATACGTATCCACGGTGATCACAATTTCCCGTAAGTGCTTCTTGAATTCGCGAACGGCATGAACTCGCTCGCGGCATAATATTTTGGCGTACATTTTCTTTGCAACGACGTATTTTGGACTTTCGATTTTGATTTTAAAGGATTCCTCGCATCGTAGCTATATGACGTCATGAAAGAAAAATCGATATTAGTGTTTTTTCTCACATTACACGCCGAAATAAATTAGCTTTTTTCGATAATACAGATCAGTAAGATATATCAAATATATTTTTTTTCAACTCGCGGACGTCATAATGTGACTACAATAAACAAAACAGAAGCCCCGGCAATGATACTTTGACCTGAGGAAATCCAGCACGATTTTAACATTGGCGCACATATAAATATCCGTGCATTTTCTATTCAGATTTGTGATTGATAAATAAAATATGATCTTAGTGAACAAATAATCAAGAGAGAAAGGGAGGTAGAGGGAGGGAGAGTTCGATTACAATTTACTATTCTGAGATGCTAAACTGAGATATATATCTAATATCTTTCAGGAAGTCAGAGGATGTTCAAAGGAGAACCGGTAAGGAATGGCATATATACTAGAAGCAGTGACCTGAATAGGAGAAGACTGATGCACCGAGCGAAGACGAAGTCATTGCGTATCAGCGTCGTCATCGTTGCGGCCTTTCTGATCTGGTGGACGCCGTACTATACGATGATGATTATCTTCATGTTTCTCAATCCCGATAAACACGTTAGTATACTTTGTCGAAGCGTACGTAACGACTGTGTGTGTGTGTGTGTGTGTGTGTGAGAAAGAGAGAGAAAGACAAGTAATACACGATACTTTCAGTTCAGCGAAGAGTTGCGGAGCGGGATATTTTTCTTCGGCATGAGCAACAGCTTGGTAAATCCCCTGATATATGGCGCGTTTCACCTTTGGCCGCAGAAACAACGAAAGAGTTCTTATCACAGGTGAATGAAATTTACGAGACTGTTCGACGCGTCGTATCTCGCGAATTCCTTTTCACGTTTCACTTCGACGTACTTGCACGTGCGCACGCGAGTTACGACGAGCATGTACATAGTATCGCGATAACGACGGTAGAAAGTTTTACATGGGACGCGCGATTCGCTCGTGCGAATATCGGTGTCCTCCCCCCCCCCCCCCCCCNCTCGAGGAAGAAACTTTATTTCTTAATCATTCTTCCGTCGGCACTTTCGTAATTTTTTGGCGAATTACTACAGGAATTAATTACTGCGATTACAGAATATTGCTTCCAGCAAAATTATCTTCATGCAAACGAGATGAAATAAACTAATGTTAGACCACTTTATTGAAAAAAAAAAAAGTGCCACTTTAATTTCTGCACTTTTTTCATCTCATAATCCTCCGTTGTTTCGATCCTGAAACGGACATTCATCCATATCCTAACCATGCTCAACGTTGCTTTACCTCAATGATCGAACAGGAACTTCTAATACCTTGATAATATTCTATATATATAATATAAGGGGTTATCCTTATAATATATATTTTTACATCGCCGAAAAAAACATTATAACGGCATAATACAAACGTTGGAAACAACGCGGAAACGATTGATATACCATGAAAATTAATATATATTGGCGAACCAGTAATGTCAATATTGTTTATAGATTTTTAATTACGGATTATAGTGAATTTCAAAGTAAATTTCAATAACTTACTTTGAAAAACACATATTATGAAACAATTTATATTAATCATAAAAAAATTTACACTTATTTTTCTCGTTATCAAAAATTTTTAAATATACTTGTTAAAAGTGCAGATATTATTTTCAGAATACATTTATAATATTCGACAAATAAATGAAACATCGCAGGTGAATTCACAATATACCCTGAGAATGTGAAAAGTGGTACAGTATATACAAAATATTATAGTCACAAATTCCAATATTAATGACTGCTACTGGGTGCTATAAAAATAAAGATTAGCAAATATGTCTTCCCTTTATAAATTTATCCTCTCTGCCTTTCATGAATGGAATAATAAATTCTAATATTAATTTCATTAGATATTGATGTGACTTATGTGAAATAGTACTGAAGTACTAGGCTCAATTGCTAATGCAGATTTTAATCACTAGGTGCGGTACTTCGCATAAGTAATTAATTCTTGAGAAAGACTTCGCACCAATAATTCATTGCTAGAGCTTTATAATAGATCAATGATTATTATTGCCGTCATTATCACTTGTTTACTCTATGTTATGTTATTAATATCTCTGTAATTTAAGTATTCAAAATCATTAGTAATAAAATTATTGAGATAAAGTAATTTATTACTGACCAGCCAATAATACTTTTTTGTAAGGGAACTCGCTACAAAGAGGCCTACCGAAACCTCTGCGAATATCGTTACTTCCGATAATTATGGCGGAATTTTAACTTTGTAACATTCACCGCCTGGTATTAATGTCGATCTTGTGAATTATAGGTCCGAACAGATAACGATGCAGCAGCGGAACAACACAAGGAAGTCACGCGATACGCCTCTCCTTTCGCACCAGGATAGTGGAAGTAAAGTGAACGCGCAGCAACGCCAGACATAACATTTTCCCGTGAACTGAATTGCATCGTCACCTTCTGCGAAAAAAGTGTACAGCGAGGAACGAGCGCGTAGACAGTATGATGTATTAGACAAAATGAAGAACATAAATAAGCATCATTCTGCCACGCCTTTCGTATCGAATATCGTTAATAAACGACTTCTACGAGTAAGGATCGCTATCCGCGATCTTAAATACCGAAAGAAACAAATTTACTCTCCTAATAAAAAAAAATAGTGGAAAAGGTGGTATTACGGCCTCCATTTACGTTTTATACAACAACTTTGTTAATAATCAATATTTTAAATTGGGAACTTAAGGATTACATTCGTTAAAATCTTATTCGATAGATTTAAAAAAAATTTGTTTGTTTAAAAAAAACAATGTTTTATTAGAAATTTATATATTTATTTAAAATAAACTCTTAGAAAGGACAGTAATTAATATAAATTGTATATAATAAGTGAATTTTTAATGTGTACATATTGACTTGTTTGTCAGAAAGTAAATACAAACACTGTCAAAAGGAAAATTTTTACAAAACAAATAAACTTCTAAACTTGATTTATCAAATGACTACTTCGATATGGAAAAGAGGCCGTATTAAATCTATTTTAGCGGAGGACCAAATTAGCAAAATGTTATGCTACTGTTTAATTTTGCATACTTCGAAATGTATAACTCGAAATGAGTGTACAGCAGAATAAAATGTTAAATAAGGAACAAATCAATCTTGAAGAAAAAGTGCTGACTAGCTGCTGCATCAATAACTGCTGATGACACTGGGTCAGTCTGCGTCGATAACCTGTGATATTCTATCAGTGGCTGATTCAGTTACGAGTAATAGTTATCGGTTGACGTCTAATTTTAATGATCAGTTTCTATATTCCTGAGAAAAACTGGTTAGACATTATCGTAACGTTTTGTAATCGTACTCCAGATAGCCAAATGTCTATGAAGTCGTATCGCCGCTAATTGTTGAGGCAACTGTTTTCAAGAAAACGGGGGACGAGGTAAGACAACATTATGAGGATAGTTTGAAAAATTCTCGGCCTAACACAGAGATGATGCTAACAGAATATTTTTTCGTTGTGGACATATATGATTATATATATGGGCAAATTTCATACATGATCTTTTCTTTTCCCAGATATATAATTGACATAAATCATAATAAAAGTATGATACCTGATAATATAAATAATGATACAGGGTGTCCCAAACCTTTCTCGGTTTCCGTGGGTATGCAGGTAGAACGGGTGAAAGAAAAGTCATGTATCATTTTGCAAAATTCGCAATTCATTATTGCGTATTCATTTCATGCACTTATTATATATAATCACTGCACGATCAGCCCAATATTTTGTAGGTAGATACTTATTTGCAGTGTATTCTTCGTTTTCGCAAGACTTTGGATAGAAGCAATATCGCGTGTGATGAAGAAAGTATTTATAAAAAAAATTTATTCATGCTTTTACATGGCTCGAACATTTTAAGATTCTATAAATACGCATATTTATCTATATATATCTAAGGAGTATATACATTATATTAAATAAAGCTATCTCTCAATAATATACTATTCTGCGAATACACGAGCACCTCCGGCTTTTCTGATATCGTGTTAGAATAAGCGATTCGCCATTTACAGTTACAATGATCTATCTACATGATTTCGTGCTGTATCGTATCAACTGTCAAACAAGAACTCGCTGCGTTCACTTCGCGATCTTACAGAGATATGTCACTGGTCTACGGTCGCACGCGCTCAGTATGATTACAATGATTTCTTGGTGTGTCGCAAACGTAACGCGAATCTCATAAAATTATAACATAATTATGCTTATAATTATAGTCATATTCTGATTTGTTTTAATAATTATAATGATATAATCATATCATAATTATTTTCCATTAATAATATATCGATAAATATATAGCTTGAAGAGCGTAAACCGACGTGCGTAGCGCGAGCATTTCGGAAGATGCAACGATGAAACTATCACACGCGTTGCCGTTCGATAATTAATCTTATTAATTACCAAATCTTATAATATGCAACACATCCACACATAAAATAAAATATGATTTTACATTTCACTCGTCAGTTTATATATTGCTCTTCATTCGAATAGAAATCAAATATTGTTCTTTCGGAACCAACTGTCGGTCTGCATCGGTGAAACGACATAACCATTCACAAAGAATAAAAAACGCACACGTTTCTTAAACGATCGCGTTTTTTAGTAAATCGAGCCGCCCTCGCTAGGGCACGACGCTAAGGAATAAATTACTACTTAGTTAAAGAGTAAAGAATTTATCATTCTATATCGTTGATCTTATCATATTATGTACACAATAATCTAACGGCATAATGCTTGTTTCCTTTGAAATTCAATTTGCTGCTGCATATTACAGAGGGAAAAATCACACTTGACAAATAGGTATCTGTAATTTTTTCGTTAATCTCATCTCGCTATTTATGCTATTTCTTCATTGTGAGGATCGTTAGAATACGATTAATCGACGCTTCTTCTTCATGATCGAACATGATTGATTAATCGAATGCATTGTCGGTTATCGTAGTGCTTCAATTAAGCGCGGTAACGTTTTATGCTAGAAACGGGAAGATACTTTACAATCTCGTAAAATAACAATCAATATCAAAATTAGAGACTCGATTTTCTCTCTTCCTTCCTCTCTTCTTCTCTTTTTCGGTAACCGCCAAAAATGTTCGGACACTTATCTCGTTCAAGTTTACTGAAATGAAATATTCAGCTAATAGATGCGCGTAAATATAATCGTATAAGTGTTAATATACGCGATCATATACGGTATACGTTGCAGTGAGAGTGACCAACTCGATGATTCTACAACAGACCTTTCACGCTGGCTGGAATCAACAATATTTTATAAATCGCATTCTATAAAGTCACAATTATCTCTCATAGAAGCGTCATTCAGTCGCTCTCGCCGTAACACATTGTAACAAGATGGAACACGTGCCGTTCGCTTAATCCCCAGTGGTGTTTCTCCCTGTGATGTAGATACGTATATCAGTACATACCAATTTACATTATACATAATAATTATATCACATAATAAGTCGTCATTTTTATTTACAATAACAGCGTTTTTTCGCGCTTATACATTCTTTCGCAACTACTGTTGAAAAAACACAATACGACCGGTTTGTCGATAATTGAGAAACATTTTCTCATTTTACCATAAGGCTTTGCCACTGGGCGTTGAACCGACTAATAACGAATACCTCGGCAGCGTAGAGATATTAATCCAGTATCATAGAGCAAGTGCTTTGACAAAGTCGTTTCAACAATCATACGAATTGCTTGGTGAAAGTAAAGAGAGAATTTTCATTCTATGAAAAATATATAATTAATCGTTAAAGAAACTTAGCCTATTCATCGTATAATTACATTTCAGTCTAAATTGTTCTTTCGAAGAAAATAATCGTCATAACTTTCTCTCTCCCTCTCTTTCTCTTGATCTCGTTATTTGCTGATTTTTGCTATACAGTTTGGGATTCGATACTCTCTCTCTCTCTCTCTCTCTCTCTCTCTCTATATATATATATATATATATATATATATATATATATATATTTATCCTATTCTTTTATAAAGTTTATTAATGTTACGTGAAACAAAAATACAAAGGAAAATTCTGACATATCTGGGAGGGTGTGTCGCGGGGAAGCATAAATGACAGAGATCAAGAAAAAATCTTCATCGTTGGTAGTTTTTAACGATAATTTCGAACGCTATGTCTTAGCATATCAACGCAAGATAACGCAATTTGTGCAGAAGAGAAAACGTTCATTGAGATTTATATTAGTACGATAGATGTCGAATATAATACATGTTTCCCTTTTCGCTATGCATATCGATAACATGTAATCTTGTCTTTAAAATTAAGCTTACACCGATGTCAATGTTAGCAAATGTTGCAACATAGTATAAAATTCAATATAATGTTTCCGAGAGTATTTTTGTAATGTCAACTTAATCACTTTGATCTCTCTTGACTTTCTTTAATATCATGCTTACAGGAACCTTGCTGCAATTGAATATTTTCACTGATACAATTGTTGTAAAAATATTAATATCTCGTTTCGACTATATCCTGAGAAACTGATCTGCCTTTCATTGCTACGCGTAAGAAAATCGCGGAAAGCATATATCTACATCCTGTTGTTGAATAATCAAACGATATACTGCGTTTATGAACAAGAACCAGATCTATCACATTATATACAAGACTCGTATATATACAGGACCCTTAATGAGAAATTAACAACGAATGAAGCGTTATTTTACAAGTATTACTTTACGAAAGAAAAGAAATAAATTTTACGAACGAAGACACAGAAAAATACGTATCGACGTCAAATAAAACATGATAATTAGAGATTCAGTGTAAACTTGTGAGATGCTATATTCGAGCAATTAGGCTAAACTCTCGCAATTAAGATTCGCATAAGAAACACTGAAAAATGTTGAAACGCGAGTAAAAGGTGTCAGAAATTTCTCGAAGATGAAAAGTTCATACAAAATGAACGGGAATAAGGTGGCGCGCGGCAAATATCAGGTACACACTCTTTTTCGGAATTAGATGTCGTACTGAATGTAAAAGCTTCAAAGTCGTATCATGGATATACTGAAAACGTGTTTATCGTGTGAGTGCTGATATCACATACAAGTACACTTTAAAGCTTCTCACGCGGTCCTGTACCGAGCATTTCAAATGCTTCGCGTCATCCAACACACTTCGAACGCTTCCTTATATCTTTGTACTGTTAATATTCATTTGTGGTAACATAAGAAAGAACCGTTATCTGCGCATAACGGGCAATCCCCGAGTACTTTCGGCGTACCCGTCATCTAGAAGACTGCTCGATATGTCGGCATAGTTTGTTCTTTTCTCCCGCTTCATACCGTTTTTTCTGGCTTTTTTCATGCCATAGAAATTGTAACGTTAATTCCTAAGTTTCCATTGTCAGCGAACAGTTGCGCAATGGAGGTGTCAAATACAAGGCAGTCAGAGTTTAAAATTGCAGACGACACACCCTCGTGGATAGAACGCGGCATCGCTTCCCATGTCAGTCGTCTTCTATGCCCATTTAACTCTAGTCTGTTGAATAAGATAGAGATTAAGTCTACTCCAAATTCATCGTCAAATCTTATATTTAAGATTATCATTCACATGTTATATTCAAGTTTATCTTCAAAAATATTTTGTAGCCAATGACTCAGGATGCAAACTAAACTTGACACGATCTTAATTATATATGTAACTATAGCTGCAGATTCACAGCGCTGTATTATTCCATCTTTCTTTGGTATATAATAAACAATAAAGATAGAATCGGACCTATGAAAACCGCCGAACAAGACATAATTCAAGATTCCTATTTCCTCGCCACAGTGATCTTATTTAATTAATGATGAAAATGTCTAAAATTCTTACATTGAAATCAAAGGATGTGTTGATAAAATTATACTTATAATCGGTTGATTTAAAACGGAAGCTTTCCTTTGAAAGTCGATAAATAGCCATAAAAATAACGTGACAAAATCAACATGACAAAAGATAAGGTAAAAAAGTGAGTTTGCGAAATTTTACGATTATTTTATTGGTTGTTACAGAGCAAAAGGAATATTTGACAATAATGAAATATTGAAAAATATGCCCAATCACAAGCGCCATTTTATGAATATATCCGTTTATTTCAACGTAAAGAATTTTGAACGTATGTTTTCTGATATTGTTAAAGATGATTGCAGTGAGATACCAAGTGTCTTATGTCGCCAACAAATCGCTCAAATTGTAGTCTACCGATGGAAAAGTCATTACATCTCTTTGGTTTGCTGGGGAACGTTTTTAACCCTCTCGCGGGGAATAATTCGATAAATGTTTAATAACACTATCTAATTCTTTCGTCTATACATTTGAGAAATATTCATTTCCAATGGATATACCATGAACTGTAATTCTACGAAAATGTGTAATTGTACCTGTAAGCAAAGTTCTCCGCTTGCTTTCTCGAGCCGATTAATTGTACAATCGCGAAGAACTGTTGATGTCCGTCGTATTTCTCTTGTTTCTCGAGTACTAGCATAAAGTAGTGGCCGAAACAAGACTGCATCATCACCCAATCCACAGCTCCAGGGAGATTAATATCAGTCGCCAAGAAAACAATGTCTTCCCCTGGAGGAGCAGCCAAGGAACAATGGGTGTATCATAATGAACATTGTATCACCAAGCAAACAAAATTCAATACCTTGTAGAGTCGTGATACTTTTATGACTCATAATTAGATGAGGCATTACTTGTTCCAGCGATCCCTGCCACTTACAGGACGCGCCTGGACAAGGACAACTGTATGGACGGTATTCGCATGTATCCTCGTGATCAGCTTTCTCGGTATGCACTAGTGAAACTGTACAGCCACTGGTGGAATACTTGCAGGGAAACATTACGTTACTTGCCACCTTTTCCATCGCCAAGTTACGTATATTACCTGTTTTCAGATCAGATTCGTCGGGTGAGTCTCAATTCAGCCTGAATAACAATCATGTTTCAGCTACATACCCAACGGGCCTCTGCAAGTAGGGCAGCAGGAAAGTTTCGGTCGGCAATTTGTGCACACAAGATGCCCACTCTGGCATTGTAAGATGGGTGGAAGCACATAATCGAAGCAAACCGGGCACTCAAACAGGCTCGCCAAATCGGTGGAGCTACTCAACGCGGACACAGCCGACGCCGAGGTGCTCGCGACCCCTTGTGCTCGTCCACGCTTGCCCGTGTTTGTGTTTTGCTGAGACATCTTTCCTTTTAGGTTATGCTAACTTTTAACTATTCAGCGACAAAGTCTAACAGCAGCTGCGATACGCTCCTTTCGGCCGATTCATTGCTCCTGTAAAATCGCCAAGTAAGTTCATAATCGATCGAACCTTCGAGCTATGCTCGAGAATCAACCTTATTATTATCGATCCATTAAGACCGAAAGAGCATCATCGCGCGATCGAATTGACGCGAGAATGTATACCATTAGGCTGACTGACGCGGGATTTTAATTGGCATATGGGACGAAGCTCCTTGATTGTAATCTTCGACTGATCAACGACGCGCGTACGTTGTTGACTATGACGACATATCTCAAGCATTATGCAACGTGCCGTAATACACGTGATTATTCACCGACGTGCACGCTATGCGTACTATTCGCAAGTGTTACTTCGTCGGTATGGATGATAATGACGGTGCTCCCATCATTTTTCGACCAAGAAATTTTCGAAGGAAATGTTATTACAGATCCTATGACTACTAGCAGCAAACGAAGAGAGAGCTCATCTAAGTCATGATTGTTTTCACTTTCTAAAGATCATAAACTCGCTGGTAAAGACGAAATAAGATGGGACAAACGGACAACTTGCGCGACGCCAAGGTCATACACACAAACTTCGATAAAATTATTTCTCAAACTTGACAGTTCTCCCTACCAGTGGCTTGATATTATTTAAACCAACAACGTCGCATTCTCATGACAAATGGTGTTTTTTTTTTTTCCAGCTAGACTGGTTGGAAGAAATTTACACATTGAATCTCTTTCATAACACTTCAGTGTGTATGTAAATTTGTTGAACGAGCGCGGCCAGTTCGGCTAAAGAGAACAGACATTTTCTCGTAGAGCTTACCGGATAGAAGGATTAAACGAAGGTACGTATCAGTCGCAAGATCGCTGTATCGTGATCATCAGGACTAGCAGATAAGACAGCGGCACATGGCAGTCGTCTTCTTCATTGCCCGTGCAATCGTGAGGCTCGAGCACCGAGTTTATCGTCGATAAAAGGCACTTTTTGTGGTAGACAGTGACGGAACTTCTTTCTACGTGTGACAATGAACATGTAGACGCAGCCGACTCGACGTGGTCAAGATCCGTTGTTACGCGACGCATCGATGTTATGGGCCAATTTAATACGACAATCAACACGAGAGCGTTTCTCTGCCAAGCTAACGTTAGGCTAGGTATATTGAGCTACATCACGAATCCCCATGGCCGCTGGACTAGCATGATTAACCGCACGACATCCGTGCCGGTCTCGGGTGAGGCACCGCACACGCGTTCTCTTTCTCTCGCTCGCACGTTTAATTTCACTCACTCAGTCTCTGCGTCTGCTATTATTCGCTCTTCCTTCCGTTCATCGCTCTCCTTCACCGAACGCACATCGAGGGGGGCGTCGTCGTCTCGCTCCGTATATTTCTGTGCGAAACGGAAGAGACACGATCGCTACGACGATACACACAAGTCACCCACCCGTGCAACTGACGGGACACCCGAAATGCATGCCGCGCTGAACGTGGCAAGCAACGTCGCTAGATGGCGAAACGAGTTCCCTTTAGACAGACAAGTGCATACCACTTTTGATTGGTCCGCTATTTTCCATCCGTTTTCGGACAGATTAATTATTATTGGTCAATTTCTTAAATCTTAAATTGTAGACCCCACTTCAACCCAGTATTCATGATCTTATATTTAAGGCCGTCTTATTTTCGGATGCTGTATATACGACATTAGTTAACAAATATGTTTAAAGTTTTCTCTTTGAAACGCCTCTATCATCACATTTTCGAATCAAATTTTCGCTCTGAAAGCTCAATTGAAAGTCGAAGTTGGAAATTGAGCGGTCACCATTTTTAACTCGAAATATCTTGACGAAAATTAACATTAATATATATAGCCGATGTGATTAGAGACTTCAAGTTTTGAGGTGCTTTTTCAACAATAGCATCATTATTGCGAAAGTTACAGCCTGTTGAATTTCGTCCATGTTACAATGGAATTTGACCAGCCTTTGAGTCATACCACTTGAGAAATAGATGTACGTCTGACTCCACCGTTCAGTCGACCATCACGTTTCTCGTCAAGCATGGTGGCGACCATAGAGGTGGCGACTCTGCGTAGCGGAGGTTCTGGAACCAAATTACAAAAATAACGGGTCTAATAATTACGTAAACCCGTTATTTGATTCCAGAATTCTCCGTTACGAGTCGCCATTATACTGAACGAGAAACTGAAATCGTAGGTCTGTTCGTTTTCGCTGCATCGCTGAACTAGTGTGATAAATTGAAGCGAGACAAGTATATGTTTTCAATTTCAGCGAAAACGAACAGACCTCGTGACTAAAGGATGGACGTACTTTCTATTTCTCAAGTAATATGACTCATGAACTGGTCAGACGTACTTTCCATTGTGATAAAACATTGGCGAAATGCAACAGGCCGTAGCTATTGCAATAATGATGCTATCGAGATCGTTCAAGAAGCACTTTAAAGCTTCGAGTGCTTAAAGTGCGAACAATCATATTGATGTAATAAAAATATTTTATTATTACGCTTTCCCCTCGAGTTTCTTTGATAATAATTTTGCCCGTTATATTTACCTGTTATAGCAAACCAACTGTTTTTTTGAAATTCGTCAGGTTTCTGTAACACGCGAAAACATATACTTATCTCAATATTAATCGCACCAGTTCAGCCAAAGAGAACAGACTACGAAGGCTCGTTGGAAACTGGACACTGACGAAAAGTTTCGGGTTTGTTGTGTCTCGCGTAAAATCGAGTGCTGTTCATCGCGATCCCGCGCATTATTCACATTCATCGTCGAGAAATACGCATAGTCAGGATGCCGAAGAGAAAAAATCAAGCCCTCATAGACTCCGACAGTAGTGGCAGTGCATCGGAAAGCGGCTCAGACTTGGAAAATGTAAATAGTCTAACCTTTAGCATAAAAAATGCATGCCGTTCACTTTCATGCTCGTTCTGCAATTTCCGAGGCATTTTTTTCTCGGCTTCTATTTATCGCACGGAAAATTGCCGAACTCATTTGCTGCCGCGGCTTTTTCTTCCAGTATCGACTAATCTTATCTTCGTTCGTTTTCGCTGAAAGTAACTTGGCATAACCTATAATAATAAATGAATACATCTCCAACAAAAAATAATATGCAAACATGTGATGTAATATGTCGTAACTTGCATTATGTCGATGTGAAATATATAACTGCATTTTGTGCGTACAATCTGCATTTTGTATGATATAGTTAGGGATAGAGTGATTCCAGGTAGCATTATTTTTATAATATTTTCATTGTGCACAATGTGTGATTGGTTATATATATATATATATATTCTCCATTACTTCAGGATCTATTGTCATTGGCAAAAAAAAAGAAGGGAAAGTCTCAAGATGATTCTCAGTCGAATGAAGATAACAGCTCTGTTAAGAAAGATACTAAACAAGATTCAGACACATCAGATTCTGATGATTGGAGCAATAAGGCTGGGAAGACAAAGAAAAAGAAACCACCAGCAAAAAGAAGCAAACGAAAAATGACAAAGTCTAGTACGGAGGATAGCGCCAGCGAAAAAGAACCTGCTAAACAGATTTCGGAGCCGGAAGAAGGTACTTGTCGTCGATATTTTTTTAAGTATCTTTTAGACATATAAATAGGCTCGTGTTTTGAACTCTTTTGTCTGTGAAAGTGCCTTAAATATGGCTCTTCAGATTCAGACTCCTAAGCCATTTTTGGAAGCGCTTTTATTCATAAGGAAGAGTTGAAAATATGAGCGATAGATACTTATTGATACATAGATATATAATAGATTTATAGAATGTTGACATGTTGTTACAATGATAAACAATATAATACAAATATTTCATTACAACAGGTGAAGTATCAGATTCTGATGCAAGTGTTTCTGACTCTAGCCAAGAAGAATTTAATGATGGTTACGATGATAAACTCATGGGAGATGCAGAAGATCAAGCTAGACTAGCTCAAATGACGGAAAAAGAGCGTGAACAGGAAATTTTTAAACGGATTGAACAACGTGAAATTATGAAAACAAGATTTGAAATTGAAAAGAAATTGAGGATGGCTAAGAAACAAGAGTTAAAAAAGCAAAAGGAATCGAAAAAGAAAGAGAAGGGAATTGAAGAGAAAAAAGTGGATAGAGCCCCAGATCCTAAGGAAAGAAGTAAAGATCGTAAAAAGACGATAGAAGAGAAGCAAGATAAGAAGTTTCATGCAATGTCTTTACTTAAAGCTAGACGTGAAGAAAAAAAAGAACGAGGTAAACCATTTAAGCATTGCAGCCTTTTTGTTAATGTTGTTGATTTCATATTTCTTTTTAAAACAGAGGAAAAGGAGAAACAAAGGATAGAGCAACAGCAACAACAATCAAAAGATATAGAGGAAGAAGAATTGGAAGATGATCATAAAGGTGGAAGTAAAACAAAACTCAAAGCATCAGATATATATTCTGATGATAGTGGTTCATCGGATAGTGCGGAAGAGGAAGAAGTGGTTAAACCAACATCACAACGCAGATCCTCCTCGAGCGAGAGTCGTGACTCTGATTCGGATAACGATAAAAAGTCAGTTGTTTTTCTATTCTTATGCAAATTTTGATTGTATGTTTAGTCAGGTTCATAACATGACCATATATATATTTTAGATCGATTACGAGTAATAAAGCCAAACCGAAGAAACCAGTATATATTAGTACTAAAGAGGATTTAAACAAAATCCGATTGTCCCGTCATAAGATGGAAAGATTTGTTCATTTACCATTCTTCGATAGAGTGGTGCAAGGTTGTTTCGTCAGGATTGGTATTGGCAATAATAATGGTAAACCTGTCTATAGAGTAGCCGAGATAAGTGGCGTGTGTGAAACAGGAAAAATTTATCAGCTCGGCGGCACGAGAACCAACAAAGGATTGAAATTACGCCACGGAGCGCAGGAACGTGTATTCAGGCTCGAATTTGTCTCAAATCAGGAATTTACGGATTCAGAATTCCTCAAGTGGAAGGAAACGTGTGCATTGCAAGGAATATCTATGCCCACCTTCGATGAAGTAGATCAGAAATTAAAAGATATTAAAGAGGCGCTGGTATATGAATTTAAGGAAGAGGACATCGAGAAGATAGTTCGTGAGAAAGAGAGATTCAAACAAACTCCCTATAATTACGCGATGAAGAAAGCGCAACTCATGAGAGAACGCGATGCAGCTAATTGTAGAGGAGATGACGAGACTGCTAGTCGTCTTAATCAAGAACTGAGCGAGTTGGAAGAACGTGCGTCGGAACTGGACAAAATGCGTACAGCATCGATCTCTAGCATATCGTATATTAATGATCGTAACAGAAAAAGAAATGTGGAGGAAGCTGAAAAAGCCATTATGGTAATTATTAATTTGTTAATTAATGTTTATTGTTCATTTCGACTGATTAATTGGAATTCTCATAACAGGAAGAATTGAAAGCTAGCAAAGGTAAGAAGGTCGACGATCCATTCACTAGACGAAGCACTAAACCCAGAATGGTATACAAACCAGAGGATGAGGAGGCAGTAACTATTCCATTAAACGACAAATCGAGTACTCATCCAGCCGGAGACTCCGTATCAAACGCCAATGATAAGGAAAACGAACAGGATTCTAAGAAGAAGCAAAGTACGGAAGATCTCTTCAATGCGCATGATTTCGACATAACAATAGATTTGGAAGTTCCTATTCCAAGTAAGTTGTATATGTACTAAGCATTAAGATTGTAAATTTTCTTTAACGATTAAATAGATAGAAGAATATAGCGCACATTTTTTATCTGTTCTTTCTGGTTGAAGACCAATTCAAGAAATTTACATACACATCGAAGCATATGAAGCGTACGTATGAGATTCTCACGCTTCAGTGTACATAAATTTCTCAAACTAATACAGCTAAAAAGAATCAGATCATTTATAACACACACATATGCAGATATGTACGTACACACACGTATAACTTTCTAGATAATCCTGTTTACATATATATATATATATATATATATATATTTATTTATTTATTTACTTATTTATTTATTTATTTATTTACTTATATAATATATAATTTTCTTTCTAGATAATCCTGTTAGTGTCCTACCAAAACCTATTAACAACATCAAGGACACAGGACCTCGTCGATCGCTAAATCTAGAAGATTACAAAAAGAAACGTGGTCTTATCTAACATTTCATATGCTTTAGATATCGCGAGAAGATACGATAAGGTTAAATTTTACCAAGGTTGTTCTGTAGTAATTAAAGATATTACCTTATTTGTCGAATCCTCTGGTTAACAACAAGAACGAAAGATACGTTCTTGTAACGATTAACTGAGGTTATTTATAACACATTTGTAGTTATTATTATTATCATCAATATTATTATTAACGACGATTCCATTCGTGCATCTTTAATACGTTGAGTGCAGTGGTGGACTGATCGGTGATGGGATAATCTGTGTGCTAATTTTGCGGGTGAAGAATTAGCTGATGTGTATTGTAGTACATAATAAAGAAACGTTGCATAATAAAAAAAACATTGACAAAACCAATCAATATTTAATGATTCTACGAATATTTCAATTTGATATTAGCTAACGTTCGTGTTCTTACATAAGATATTAAATATTGATATCTGCTATTAGCTATTCCGCTATTATTCGTCGTTCATCATGACACTCAACGTATTAAATAATAACATGATGGCTCCAACTAAAGCGAAATCTGTTTATGTATTCAATGTCCAATATTCCGAATAACAAAATTGATCGTCAGACGGAACATGAATAATAATTGACAAACGATCATAACTGTGTTTAAACGGTGTTTAAAAAAAAAATGATACGTATGATACGTGTTATTGGATAACTGAAACAAATATGCTCTATTTTGCATCATCCACTACCATAGCATGATTATACATGTCATATCCGAGTGAAAGAAAAGAGAAATACAGAAAGAGAGACATGTTTGTATCTAATGAAGAAATAATTTGCCAAATAATTAAATTTAGGAATAATAGTATCATTTCTATGCGATTACAATTATAACATAAGGCAATTTTCTGTGTTATTCATAAAAGNTCATAAAAGAATATAAAAAAAAAAGAGAAAAAAAATTATGCTAAAATATCGTTTCTTACATTTAAAGAATAGGCCGTGAAAACACATGTATAAAACGTAGATGTAATATCGCTAGTTTTACATTTATATCTCTTATAATTGCACATATTCTATATGTGATATTGCTCATAAATTTCATTGATGTACAGTATCATTTATTGTCATTTTTGTAATTGTCGACGTTTATCATAATTTACTGCTAATATTATTTTAAATAT